CCTGAGGCTGTAGAGTGGGGTAACCTGAGACTGTAGAGTGGGGTAACCTCCTGAGGCTGTAGAGTGCTGTTAGGACCACAGCTGATGTGAGGGAGAGGCTCTTTCCATACGCCTTGTCCTTTACCAAGACATGTCCGTTCTCTTGGGACATAAAGCTAACAGGTGGCCTCTGCTTCCAGGCCAGAAGGAGAGGGCTTCAGATCTGGGGTGGAGACAGTTAGGCTACCTTCAAGCTACTACCTGTGGATTGACTCCTCCCTACACACACGCAGAGCAGGACATCCTGTTGAGGTGACTGCATGGCACCTCACTCCAGGCATGACAATTTAAGGGCTGCTGTGTATTATGAGACTGCACACAGTAAGCCCTGGGGACTGGAACAGGCTTCCATGCTATGCAGAGTCACTATGAAGTGGCATCAATGGAGCCAATAACTGGACACACAGTGGGGCGTGGCCAGGGGTCACAGTGGCAGGAGCCCAGGGCTCAGAGTTCAGGAGGCAGGCTCTAGCCTACTGGCAAGCTCTTACTCGGGGTGCTCAGGTGTGCTACTTAACGGCCAGAAGCCTCGCTGTTACCGCCAGTCAAAAGGAGAACACTGACTGCCGCAGAACTACAAAGCTAGCTTTAGATGAGGCATGTGCCCGTGCATGCTTAGCCACTGAGCACTCGGCAAAGCACTTCCTTCATTACTGGCATTTTCTGATGTTAAGTATTTACCTCTTTTTGACTGCATGTTTTAGGCCAAAATTTCATTAACCCCCTAATAACCTAAAAAGGAAAAGGAGAAAAAAACAAGAGACATTTAATATTTCACATGATTTTAATAAAAAAAAATTTCTTAAGTATTTTCACGTTATGGAAAGAAAGAAATGGCTTACTGGTTCTGTGAGTGAAGGATCTTTCTCCAGAAACTGTACTATACAATACGCCAGCTGAACAAGAAGGAAGGAGGACAGAGTTAAATCCACACTGCAAAGGCTGAAAGCACACAGCACCAACACGCCTCAACAGCATCCAGACGCTGGTCTTAACATTACAATCACTTCATTTAAACCCTCATGAAAAACAAGGCTTTTAAATTTTGTTTCTTTAGAATTGGGATCCAGCTATGTTACCCAGGCTGGTCTTGAACTCCTGAGTCAAAATGATTCTCCTGCCCTAGTTTCCTGCATGGCAGGGACTAGAGCTAGAAGCCGTATCTTCAAGTTAGTGACAGGGTAACAAGGCCCAGGAGGGATTTTTTTCTTAAAAGAGTGCTAAGATTTCTGAGGCTAATGGAAAGCCACTGAAACACCTCATTCCGTGCAGTCTGAGAGGATCTCCTTTACATTCACAGTCCATTTACATCTCAAGGTCTGGGTTTTACTTTCTGTGGGGAAGACAACACTTTCTAAAAATCCCAGGCAACTGCCTACAAGGAAACCTGAAAAAAATGGTTTCCCAAATAGACCAAAGGTTCGACCTGCCAAGGCCAGGATCTGGGGAGTGCTCCCAGTCTCAACAGGAATGCTTTCATATAACCATGAAATGTTATATCCCATGGCAGAGACTAAAAAGAAGGGCTCAGAAAGATTCCTGAACAGGAAACCTACCCTCTTAAAACACCAGCAGTTTGATGATGTGCTAAATCTGGAACATATGGACTAATTTTTTCTTCAAAATACAGAGTTCCACATTTAAGAAGGAACACTACTTAGAAAAATGTGTTACATTTTAGTGCAAACTCCAAAGAGAAGGGAGCCAGAGGCTCACAAAACTAACATTAAAAATATCACTAGATCAATTCTGTCCTCCAGTGGCATGCTTCCATGCAGTGCCGGTGTTCAGGACAGAGTCAGTGAGGACGACACAGGCTCTGAGTATCATCACTGCTCCTTTTATGGACGTATCTGTTTGGTTCTGAGACAACTCACTATTGCCAATGCCAGCCCCAATCTGAAGGCAATCATCCTGACTCAGTCTCATAAGTGTTAAGATCACAAGGTACGAGGCACCACACCCTCAAGATCTGATTCTCAAAGTAATGAAGGATTTATAAAAAGGAAGATGTGAAAACACTGGTAGACGTGCTTATTTGTGAAAGTGTCTACTGTGTGTGTGCAAAATTCAAAGTTGGTAAAGCAGAGGAGGGGCAAAGGGCAACTGACAGCCCAGGGCAGAGTGAGTCAGGACCCAGTGTTCAAGAACAGTCAGTTCCCTGGGGAAGGCCCCGGGTTACCGCATCCTATTACGTTCTCATACTCTTTACATTTACACATATTCTACTCCGGGCAATCTTTGCAGCAGGCAGCCCTGTGTACATAGAAGTCTGCTACGAAATAAGACGGTACACAGAGAAACCCTGTCTTGGAAAAAAAGAAAAGAAAAAGAAAAAAAAGAAATAAGATGGAACAAAGTTCATTCCTACCTTTAAAATAGTTCCGTGATTCTACTGTGTGTAAAAAAAAATGCATACTTTACTATTTTCCTCGGGGAGAATTTTTAATCCTTAACACACTTTTCTTTTTTCTTTTTTAAAGGAAAAACAATATCCTGCGAAACATGAAGTCTACAAACTTCATTTTGTTTCAAAAGCTGTACTCGCCAGGCAGTGGTGGCGCACGCTTTTAATCCCAGCACTCGGGAGGCAGAGGCAGGCGGATTTCTTGAGATTCAGGCCAGCCTGGGCTACAGAGTGAGATCCAGGAAAGGCTCCAAAGCTACAGAGAAACCCGCCTTGACAAACCAAAAACAACAAGCTGTATGTACTGTAAGCCAGGTGTGGTGGCTCACCCTTGGGATCCCAGCACCCAGGAGGAAGAGGCTGGCAGACTGCAGGTTCACAGCCAGCCTTGGCTACAAAGGAAGACTTTGTCTCCGCAAAAGCTTTTATTTCAAGTCCTACCTGGGCATGGAAGAGTGACAGGCTCCTGACGGTGTGCAGAGGGATCAACACTTTGACCAGGAACTGTTTGTGCTCTGCCTTCAGTGGTAAAGCGAAGCCATTGATAATACTAGGAAAAGAGGAGACAGGTTAGCAATGCCGTCCCACACACTGAACCCAGACAAGCTGCTGTTATGAGCTGGCAAACTCTTCGTTTATATTTGTCCATAAAAACATAGTCAACCCTCCCACCACTGACAGTCAAGACTTTTTCGTTACTTCAACAGAGATCATTTCTTAAGTAGGAGTTTTAAACAGAAGAGAATTTGATGGTGAACACCCAGCAGAGGACACTGTGTTTTCACAAACAGGCAGACAGTGGCCCGAACCTCTGCCCCCCCTGCTCCTCCGTCTAGCCGCGCACCCTGCTAACTTGCTCTTCCAACACAGGCCTTCTGCCTCCAGACAGCACCAGCTCCCTGGCCTGCTCTTCAAACACCCCTGCCGTCTCCAGACACCATTCTCTTCATTCTTGAAGCCTCTGCCCAGCCTTGGGAGGTCACTGAGAGGAAGCAGGGAGACCACACTTCCTTTTCTCCTCTAAGGAGGAGACTAAGCCATCACCGTCCAGCTCCGTGAGCTCAGAACCCCTCACAACAGCTGTCTGGCTCCTCCTCTGAGAGCAGCAGCTGCCTAGAACTCCACATCTGGGCACACAATCTTTCCAACTGATTATAAATCTGCTTTCAACAGATACGAGAAAGGACAGGTAACAAATGAGACGCTTTGCTGTCACTGGCCTGACACCCAATTAGACACACAGTCCCTGAGTAAGCTGTGAGCTCTTTCTGGTCATTGTGGGGTAGTTAACAATATGTAATTGTGGACAACGGAACAGAGGTGGGGAAATGGGCTAAGCACAAAGGAGAGAGACCCAAGGTACTTGGAGCAAGAAATCCAAGTCGTCACTGCCCTCTGCCACCTGGACATGACCTGCAGAATGAGCCTCACCGAAATCCACAATTCATTGCAAACGCTTACCTTCCTAATATTTCCAGCAGTTCAGCTACACCATTGAAGTGTTCTGTTTCATAAACAAACCTGAGGAGAGAAGAGGGAGAGGAGGGGAGTGGGGAAAATGTCAGCACGTCTCCTTCAACTCCTGGAGGTTTACTCCACAGTGCAAACCATCACTGTGTGTGTTCTCTTGCTTGCCCACCATCCACTCACCTTAGAAAAATATTGTTAATTTGTTTTCGGATAAATGCTCTAAGCCCGAGAAACTTGCCGTAAATCCTGTGCAAAACTGTTTTTAAATAGTCCCGTTCTCGGGGGTCTTCACTGTCAAATAGCTCCAGAAGCTGTTGTAAATGAAGGTAAAAAGCTGTCAGGACAGTTTAGTAAAGGATTTAGAAATTCTATCGTCCATCATTTATAATCTCGCTGTTCCCTTCCCTCTTCAGAAAGCTACTAAATAACCATTACGCCCAGTTCAACAGCAGTCTTTGGGAAGCCAGCGACACTGAGTCAAAGGCTGTACACCCAGGGAAGAGATGCATGCTACAGGAGCCGTAACAGGAATGGCCAAAGTAGTGCTCACATGATCAACAGACCATTTTCTAAGCAATCTACACAGGTCAATCCTTCTGTGAGGTGGTTTTATCCTCACCTTCCAGAGGAGCAAACTGGGGCACAGAAAGCTTAATCAACTTGCTGGTGATGTCAGAATGAGAAGCGGTAGGACTGGGATTTGAACCCAGAAAGTCAATGCTGTAAGTCTGTGACCTTGAACACTGTATGTCACTAACTCCTGGGCTTATGTTCCAATTAAGCCACTCAGCTCTACCAAAATGCCCAGGAAGACAAAGTAATCCAACTCAAAGCAAACACTGAAATTCCCAATGACCCCAGGCAATGTTCTTGCTAGTCTGAGTGGTTACACAAGTGTGCTCAGGGTGGACATGCTCGAAGTAAACATGTGCTACGCCTGCATGTGTGAGTAGCATGCTTTCGGTTCTGGATCATTTATCATTTCAGCCACAGAGTCCTGATATCCAACCCAACCCTGTAAGGACTACGGGGCCTTGTTTCTGCAGCGCTGCATTAGTTGAAGAGACAGGAATAGAGCTCAATGGGGGAGCATCGTGCACAAAGCCTGTGCTCAAACACCAATGGGGGGAGGTGTTACCGGAACAGCGAGCATGCCTACAATCCCAGCACTTAGGAAGCTGAGGCTAGAGGATCTTGAAGTTGAGTTTAAAGATAGCTACATGAAATCTGGTGTCAAACAGCCAACAACAACAAAAATCAGTTGATTTGAAAATATATATGGAAATACAAGTCACCTCAAAGAGCCAAAGCAATCTTGGTAGTAAGAGGACTCGGAGGACTCACATTTCTCCGTGCAAAAGTTCAACAAAAAAGCTACAGTAATCAAGGGCATGCTGCTGATATGTGATAGATACACGAACAGAATAGAGATAAAAGTCCAAAAGCAAACTTTCAAATTCATGCTCAATTGGTTCCGTGGGATGCCAAGACATCCCAGTATGAAAAGAAATAGTCTTCAACTGAAAGTGCTGGGACAACCAGACAGACACATACGAAACAGTAAGTCAGACTTCTAGCTCAGACTACCAATTCAAATGGACTCAAAACGGGTAATCCACCTAAAGACAAGAGTACATGACAAACAATACATCTTCACAATTCCAAATCAAGTGGTTTTTTTAACCTCTGAAAGAAATGTATAAACAAAAAAAAGAGAAAAAGAAAAAAACTAAATTAAAACATCTGTGCTTTAAAGACAGTAAAAAGATAAGTTACAGAAATAAAAGAAAATATGTGTAGAAAAGGCTAGTAGTATCTACAATACATAATGAACTATTAAATCTCAATAACAGCACAATTCCATTGGGAAGATAATAGTAGGTAAAGGAGGAGAGGCTCACGGGGCCTTCTTGAGGATGGACAGGCAGTTTAGGGTTGCTGGGGGAAGGAAAGATATTTTCTTTAATGGGATAGCTACTGATAAGGTAATCAAATCCTGTAAGCAATCCTAATTAAGCTCACTGAGCTAGCCCCAAAAGAAGAAAGGGAGAAGGGGAGCTAGCTGAGAAGAACAAGACACCCAGAAGTGGAAAAGAGACAGAAGAAGGCGATGGGGGGGGGGACGCGCAGGGGGTGTCAAAATAATAATGTATGAGCCGGGCAGTGGTGGCACACGCCTTTAATTCCAGCACTCAGGAGGCAGAGGCAGGCAGATCTCTGTGAGTTCAGGGACCGCCTGGTCTATAGAGTGAGTTCCAGGACAGCCAGGGCTACATAGAGAAACCCTGTCTAGAAATATATATATAATTATATATGCATATGAACATGTAATAATGAAGCCCACTCTTGTGTTTAAATAATATATGCTAATAAAAACAAAAAAAAATTCTGAGAAAATGAAAACAACTCAACTTAAAAATGACAAAGGATGTTGGAAAAGATATATCCCAAAGACGACATAGACATGGCAAATGAATACATGGGAAAGGGCTCGATTTCATTAACCATGCAAACACAAACCAAAGGAAGACAGAACTCATCTGATGTTGCCTCAAAAGGAGAGAAGGACAAGAAAAATGTTGGTGAAGATACTGGGGAACCTTCATCTACTGTTAACAAGGATGTGAAATGATGCAGTCGGAGGAAGGCAGTCTGGTAGTTCACAGGTCCATCCTTCTAAACAACTTCACTCCCAAGTAAATGATGAATAGTATAGAAAGCATACATGCAGACCAGCGACTGACAGTATGAAAAGCTGCACACACTTGTTCACAGAAGCAATACTGAAAACAGAAAGTTAGAAACACAATGCCCATCAACAGAGGGGAGGAGGAACACTGCCCCTAACGAGAATGGAGTGCTGAGAATCCTCCTATTATCACCATACAGATGAGACGGCCAAGCACTGTGATAAAGAAATCAAACACAAGGGCACAAGATGCACGGCTCTGTTTATATGAAATACTCAGAACAGATCTAAGAATGAGTTTCGATTTCCTCGGGAGATGATACAATATCCTGTAACTATAGCAGGGATGGTTGCACAGTCCTGAAAGTCTGTTTAAAATTGCTGAATTGGAAGGCTGGGGAGATAAGGGACCTGAGGTCAACTTCTAGAAGCCACATAAATAACCAGGTGGCACATGCTTCTAATCCAGCACTGGGAGGAGAGACAGAAGGACACATGGAGCTCGCTGGCCAGCCAGTAGTGAGCTTCAGGCCAGTGACAGGCACTGTCTCAAAGCAAACAGGTGAATGGCACCCAAGAAATGACTGATCCCTGGCCTCCATATGCATGAACATACATGTGTACACACACTTGAATATGCATCCACCCCCATACATACATTTAAACATACAGATGTAGACTACTAAATTGTAAACTTCAAATGGGTAACTTTATGTTACATAAATTATAATTATAATCTGCTATTTTGTAAAAATGATAATGAAACTTGGAAGCGCTCCTGAATGTTATTTATTTCTAATACGTTCATCACCATTGCAATAAACCAACTCAGCATGTAAATAAATCCTCACAAAAGGCTGTATGTGTATGTGTTTATGCATACATGACTATAGATACTTATTCATACATGAGTCCAAGTGATGGAGATGTGAGGCTGAGGGGACAATAATCAAATGGACATGTCTTTTGTTTTACAAAAGACAGTTCTGGGCAAAATTAATTAAAACTAAAGTCCCTTCAAATATGGCAGGAAGCAAAAATTGAAGGACAGTCTTCTAAAATGGACAGTGAGACAGTCCACAAGTTTGGCTTTACAGTGCTTACCATCTATCTATCATCTGTCCTGTTTGTTCTCCTTGGAGGATTTTGAGTAAATATTTATTAGTGTATAGTAAGAGCCAACAAATGGGCAAGGAGGTGCCAGGGATATAGTGATGTGCAAGTCAGACGTAATCTCCTTTCAGAGTCTAGTCTATCGGTGGATAAAAATAAACAAAGAGCATAAGTAGTTCAAGATGTTGTACAAATGCATAATGGATCTATCTACTCTATTTGGAAGAAATACAGTGACAGAGAAGGCTTCTAAGGAAAGTGATATCCACACCCCTGCCAAATACACACACCAAAGAACTGGGACAAGTGTCCGTATCAATCAGCTTTTTGTCACTATAACAAAGCACTTAACACGAACTACTTATGAAAAAGAATGTTCTGTTTTTGGGTGGTTTTTCCATCTCAATTTTGAAGGCTAAATGTTCAAATGGCATACATAGCTTCACAGCCAGGACTGCCCTTGACGACACCGATAAGGGGTCATCAATTACACGATGACAAGGAAGTGATTATATTACAACTCCAACCAGGAACAGAGGGAAAAAGACAGACTTGTATCTTATAATCCCTTCCAAGAGTATGCCCCAAATGACCTAAGGTCCTCCTACAAGTCTCTATATCTTAAAGGCTCCATATCATTTGTCCAAACTGCCAGGATCACTTATAGCACACCCAAACCAGTGTGATTTTCCCAAGGGACTGTGGGGTGTGGAAGGCAGCAGCCTAACCGGCAGATAACACTGTTAGCAATAACTGTCATATCGCTGCCCATTTAGCAATAAAATAAACAAGTATGTGCTGAGACCTTTCCTCACGCCATGGATGTCCTTGCTTCTGGGCACACAGAGTGCTGAACAACTTCCAGCTAACTCTGGGAGGCAACCAGTGAGTTAACAATTGACTTGCACAGGAGAACATTCTACTTCCAAAAGAAAAACATGCGGCCTTAACAGGCCAGAAAGAAGAGAGAAGGTATGCACTCATTATCTATCTCTTTATGTAAGAGATATTCAGAATTACACAAGATATCTAACCATCTATTGCATTCCAGTCCTTGTTTATGGAAATTATTAACCTTTTTAAGTTCTATTTTTTAATCTAGTTTCTACTTTAAGTGGTGCAAAAGGGCTTAATGAGTAATATGCAACCAATATAAGAAGAGGTTTGCGGGGGTGGGATGTTAGCAAAACTTGAATCAACTGAGCTTCTGTAGTGCTAATCTGAAGAGTTTAACACTGTATAATTAAACAAAGATTATTTAACTAAATATTTCATTAGGTTCTCGGAAAAAAAAAATACCTAAGTAAGGACCCTGACTTAAATGTATCGTCCTCTGCAACAAAGAAGGATGAGCCTGGAAGTGCAGCTGCTTCCTGTTAGCCCGAACACGCTCCTACAGCCTTATGATGGGGAGCATGAAGGCCATTACCTTTAAAGGGGGAGGGAGGAAGACGAGTTCTCACTTCCAAAACCCAACACGTATACCAAACATATTCATAGATCATGACA